CCAACGTTAGACACGAATCGCAGTGAAATTTGATGCCTTTAGAGATAATGCGCTAAAGACATTGGTAAAGATCATTATCAATGTTACAGAAGATTATATGCATCCAACTGCCGCACAGTGCGCTTTGGACGGCCTTTGAACGTGAGGTCAGGTCAGGTCAAGTCAAAATCCGTGGACGATACAGGCTTCCGCCTAACGAGCGTCTAGCTTCTTGTACCGGTAAGCGAACCAGAGCCCCCGGCACTTCGACTTTTGATCGCCTCTCCTTGCCTCTGCAAAAAGAAATGAAGCAAAAGCGAGAGCAATCTTTGCTTTTACAAGGATCAACATCGGATAACAATGCGAATAAATTGGATAGGATTATATTAATTCCGGAAAAATACGCGGCCAGCACCTGTCTAGGCCTGCTTTGAAGGCAACCGCAGTCTCACAATCCATTAGTTCCGAAGGCAAATTATTCCAGTTGCGCACTACACGATTTGAGAAGAACTTAGCCCTGACGTTCAGTCTAGCTCTCTGTTGTTTGAGCTTCAAGCGATGTCCACGCAAGCGTTCAGAATCAGCCAGCTCAAATAAATCAGAGGGCACGATGGCACTGAAGCCCTTCATGATCTTAAATGTTTCTATCAGATCGCCTCTCAGTCTACGCCGTTCAAGGGAAAACAACCCCAGGCTCTTTAGGCGATCTTCATACGGCTTCCCCCGTTGACCTTCAACCATCCTGGTTGCTAGTCTTTGAATCTTCTCCAGGCAAAGAACATCATCACGGAGATAGGGCGACCAAGCTTGAACACAATACTCTAAGTGTGGCCTAACCCCTGCTTTGTATAGTGGCAGGAACACTTCTGGCTTGGTATTACACAGAGCCCTCCTGAGGCGAAACAATTCTCGTCGCGCTTTGTTGGCGGCGTATCGACATTGCATCGAAGGCTTGAAGCCGCTCGTCATGATGACTCCTAAATCGCGTGCCTGGGTAGTGCATTGTAAGGGGAAGGGACCAAAGGAAGTCTGAACTGCAAGTACGTCTCTACTAGTGGTCAAAATTTGGCACTTGCTTGCATTCAAGGGCAAGTCCCATTGCTTCGACCAGTTTGCCACACTGATGATATCCTTGGCCAGTGTTGCACGGTTGCCCCTGCTGACTAGCTTCAAGTCATCCGCAAAGATGTAACAGGGGTCTTCAATAAGAGGAGCCAAGTCGTTTATAAACATAAGAAACAAAAGTGGACCTAGCACCGATCCTTGGGGTACTCCACTGTAGGCCACGCCAGCGTGGTACTCAAAGAGAATATGCACGTCAGCCCAGCACTCCTGAGCTACCAGCAAGATCGTCTGACACAAAAATCCTTTGCGAAAACCATGTTGCTCGACGCTAAGCAGGTTAAACCTATTTAAATGGTTCTCCACTGTAGCTCGTACTAATTTTTCTATAAATAAATAAATAAATAGTATATTCTCGGTAAAACGAGACGCCTGAAAAAGCGTGATCAAATATGCATACAAGCATAGCTTCTGTGGAATGTTAAAACATTCCAATGAAAGGTATAAAAGTAAAGATGTTGTCCGTATGAGTGAGCATACTGTCAGGTAATAGTCAGACCCAGGGACAGTATGACGCTGTGGCGCGCAAAAATCCGTCAAAACACAAGTTGGGGGTAATTTCGGCAGGTAGTGATCCGTGAGCACAGGAACCTAAACAAGGTTTTGTTGCAACCAATAACCATTACGAGCTAGAAATTATCTGTGCTCCAACAAAGCATTCTTCATTGCAGAATTAGTTGCACAGATTCGATGTAGAAGGCTGAGGACTGCCTCAGTGTGAAATGCTTAGCTGTGACTTTATTTTGTGGCGAGTCACATCCGCCACGTCGCAGTGTTGTTAAGCGGACATTTGTGGCTTTTTATAGGGAGAACGCTTGCCAGGCGAAAACTCACCACGTCCTGGAACACTGCCGTAGCTTTCGTTGGACAGTAGTGCAAGTCGGTTATGCATCGTATAGACCGATTTTGCATTCTATTATTCGCAGTCGGTTGACAGCCAAAATTCTTCGTTGGTTGGCCGAATGGCTTAGTACTGATACGGCAGCAGTCGTTGGGGCCGGTCAATGATGCAAGATTCCAAGTGTCGAATGATAATGATGCAGGTGAGTAAACACATTGTTAATTGAGGCCGGCTGTTCTATTATATTCTTGCTCGACCACGCTAGTCAAGCTAACAGCTGATCTTGGACTGGCGCCATATTTAAAGCTTGTGACGCCCTAAAATAGGATTTGAGTGCATCACGTATAACAATTGGGTTATTAGAAATTTCTTTAAAGCCCATTCGTATGAGGGGTATCTTTGTAAGTGGTAGGTGCGACAGCACATAAACCAGCTGAGCTGCTCGGCTTTGTTTACAGTATTCAGTGTAATTGGCTTCTGACTAGCATGCTTTTGCGTCAGTTTGGCTGAAAAAGGTAGCATCTTTATTTGCGATCACGGAATAGGCAATGTTAAAATTCCTACATTGTTTTTTAAAGGCATGGCGTCAGACGGAAAAAGAAGACATGCAGTCCAGACGTAAACTGATCTGCCTACAGAAGATTTTAGCAGATTGCTCTACGGAGTGGAATCATAAGCATTCCTCCCAAATTCATAACCTAATATGTAGGCGATAGGTAGCCCAGGTTTTGGAATACGTCGGCCGGTGATGTTGGATTGCGTTTAGTTGAGCAGGATTATTGACGGAACATTGTAAGTGCAAGCACCAGTGTGCTACTCTCTAGTCGCTTTCAAGGAACTCCTGGCCTACCGTTCATCTCAGGTTTGAAAGGCCTATGTTAAATGCCAAGTCATGTATATGCTTCCTATTTTAGGGGCGGAACGCGTTGCTAACAACGGCCCAGATTGATCCAAAGTAGTAAACTTGCATACTTAGTCGGATCGGTGGATGGTACTTTTTCATTTCAGGCAAGTTTAACTCAGCTGCGACAGTTTTGTATCCACATGGTTGAATATAGAAATGCTCGAAATTGGTCCCAAGTGCATTATCACTAACGTCAACCTGATCTCCATATACGCATAATGATAATATGGTGGGCTTAATGATATCGATTGGTATGTGTACGGAGTCCGTGGTCTTTACGGTCTTTATTATTCCTGTTCTTGTTGTGTAATATATTACGTAGATAACAGATCCTTCTTTACGCTTGCGTATTCAAAATTGCGTATACATCCGATGATTTGATGGCAATGTTCCAGGACGTGGCGTGGCGAGCGGTATCCCTATGAAATTTTGCAAATATCAGTTTAACTACACTGCGACGTGGCGGATGTGACTGGCCAACGAGTAACGTCACGGCCACCTGGTCAGCATTGGCGAGCTGACCAGAATTACTTATTCCCATCTTCATACGCTCCGGCACTTTCCTATCTGCATATTACGTCGCCACGCTGCCTTATGCATATTCACTGATGTTCTTTATGCTGCACCCACATGAACCCAGGGTGCCTTGTCCTCAGGGTTGAGCTCGTTCTCCACCAGTTATTTTTTAAGTTATCAGCTCCAGTTCTTTATCTATCTTGTGGCTGCATTGTTACAGCGCCTTATGGCAGATGGGTTAGGCTAATACGAACGTGCCTGAACGCACGATAATGGGCTTTCCTCCTTTTTACTTGTGTCCTATTTTAAAGTTTCAACTAACCATACCTGAACACTCTGATGGCCACAGCTAAAATTGCCATGACACGTCTGTAAAATTGCAATTATTGAGCAAGCCCTCGCGGGCACTCCGCACACTGTCAAGAATAAATATATTTATTTAGACATTTTTATCCAGAAAGTGTGTGTGAGTCATCGACATTGCATTCTTGTACTAGGTTTCAGTAACAATATTCGCATCCGGTGCAGTAAGGACGGCGGTTTTACGTAGAACTTGCAGCTTAGTAATAACTAAACTGGTGTTGATATGTATGAGGGAGAAGCAGCTGTTCGGGTCTCCTAACTTTAAAGCTGAAGCAAAGAAGACACGAATGTTACTGTGCCACTTGGAGAAAATGGCGCTACGGCCGACTGAGCCGGACGAAGACAATGGGTGTCTGGAGCCCCATTTGAGCAGGTGTCTTACAATTTGCTGCGAGATGGAAAACGCAGAAGTGTAAAGCAGTGGCTAAGAACCAGCTGTCTGCGAACTATATAAGAAAAGAACGATGGATAGAAGTGAACTAAGAAAGAGCAATTGCAGGAAGGCAAAAGTACGCATCTGTAATATACCTTAAATTTGCTGAAGACGTCACAGCATGTGAGACATAAGCGCAGCGTCGCGCAGAGGCGCAAGTCTTTCTGAGGTGTTAAGGAATGGGTGCTAAAGTATGCTTATCCAGGAAAAGCCAATGATTGGACTGGAATCCTGCATGAGAAAGTGTCGCATACGTAGTAGCGCTTAAGTGCTAACGGAACACCTAGAACGGAGAGCATAATGGGCGTTTGTGTGATGACCAAATGAAATAGGATTGATAAACAAAAAGCTAAGAAAGAGTACTTGAAGCATTAGCAGCAAATAAACGGAATGCAAGCCTACATTAAGGTTGATGAGTGTATGAAAGCATAAGTGACGGAAGCGCAGCGGCGTGCAGCTAAGCTGGCCATGCATGGGTGCTGAAGTTATAGTACTAAGGTGGATGGATCAAGTGGAAGCTTGTCCGAGAGCTTGAGATCTGCAGGTATAAACGCCGCAGACGACAACACAATGAGTACGCTACAAACGACCCTCTAAAAGTCTGAGGCTAAATGGCGGCTCTGCGATGACCAATTAAGTTATGGTTGCCCAATGAAAGTGAGTTAAGTAAGGTTTAAGCTAAAAGAAAGGCAAACTGGAGGAGCACAATAATACGTTAAGAATATTAAATAGTTCAGAATACAAGAGGAGAAGACGCAGAGGCGCACATGTACTCAAATCATGCTAGGGTGCTAGGGGAATAATATTAAATAGACTGAGCATGGTAATGCTAAAGATACAGCTGGGCACCTCTCTAACAAGGTTCCACAGACGTTGCAGCGAGTAAAGTGTACCTAGCAAGAAAAGGATAAGGAGCTTCTGCGCGCTGAACTGATGAGATATGGAAGGTCGCCAGAAGGAAGGTACAAAAGGTTAAATAAAGAATGGACTATCAGGAAGAAAGCAAGCATACACTATGTTTCCTGAGGAAGTCACATCAAATGAGACAGCAGCGTGGCTTCGCATAGATACCCAACTTATGCTACGGTGCTAAGAATATAGTAGAGTTGATAGAGCCAGGGAAGGCTAGTCCGCGTTCTGGACGCTTGCAAGTGAAGAAGTCAAAGTCTTTACAGCAAAATGAGATAGATGAATGCTTAGAAGAGAGTGACTGAGGAGCGGCTGTGCGCTGAACCGATAAGACAAGAATGTTTGCCAGAAAGCCAAAAGTGGTCAACTGAACGAAGGACAGCAAGCAGGCACACATATATTAAGTTTACTGAGGACGTCGCAGCATAAGAGGCAGGAGCGCAAAAGTCCGCAGTATTGAGGTCCCGTTAGGTGCTAAGGAAATAGTGCTAAAGAAGACTGAACCAGAAAATGAAAATTAGCGCCCTGGACCTCTATATACTTAGGTGTCGCAGATGTTGCAGCGATTAAAGGACAAATGTAAGTCTATAAAGAAGAGGCTAAGAAGCAGTTGTACACAGACCAATTGAGTTATGTTTGCTCGAGAGTGAAAGCTAAGCAATATTTCACAATGGAAGGGAAGCGAACCGGGAATAGCGTAAGGATGCATTAAGCTTGCTAACTACGTCAGCGCATTCCAGGCTAAAGCGCCGCGGGCAGCAGAAACATAAGTCATGCAAGGGTGCTAATGGAATATTACTAAGGTGGACTGAGCCGGGAATAACCATTAAGAGAGCTGGACTCCTACATGAGTAGGCGTTACAGACGCTGCAGTGAGTATTGGATAAAAGTAGGCCCAGAATGGCAAAGTTAATCAGCGGCTGTGCGCTTACAAGATGAGATAAGGAAGGTCTTTGGATGGAAGCTGGAATAGGTTAATTGAAGAATTAGCAGCAAACAGGTAGAATGCAAGCACAGAGTAATATTGCTGATGACGTCGTAGAATCTGAGGCAAAAGCACATAGGCGCGTAGATGCTGAAGTCATATTAATGTGTAAAGGGTATGATGCTTAGGTAGGGTTAGCCGGATAAATTCAGTGCGAACCGTGGACTCTTACATGATCAGGTGTCATAGTGGTTTAATCGAGTAATGGATAAACGAGCGCCTAGGAAGAGGGTGCTATGGTGCGCTTGTGCACAGACCACTTGTGATATGTTTGTCCGGTAGAAATGAGCTTAACTAGTTTTCGTGATGAAGGGATGGCAAGCGTGGGGAGCGTAAGCATAAGTTAAAGTTGTTGAATAGTTCAGCGCATAAGAGGCTAAAGCGCAGCGGCGCGCAGGATCTCCAGTCATCCTAGGTCGCTAAGGAAATAGGGCTAAATTAGATGAAGCCTGGAAAAGCCAGTGAAAGAATTGGACTCCTACATTAACAAGTGTTGCAGAAGCAGCAGTGGGTAAGAGATAACTGATGATCTAGAAATGAAAAGCAAAGTGGGGGATGTGCTGACTTGATAAAATAAGGTTAGTGGCTGGAATAGAGCAGTGAGGGGATGCATGCTAACCGGACGACGAACAAGCCGATCGCAAGCAAACATTATGTTTGATAAATACGGCAGATCATAACAGGCAAAAGCGCAGCAACGCACAGACAATCAAAACATTCTAAGGTACTAAAGGGTGGGCGCAAAATTAGACCTTCCTCATATAAGCCAGTGATGCAGCCAGACCACTAACTGAGCAGGTGTCACAAACCCTGCAGAGCGTAATGAATAAGTAAATGTCTAAATAGAGAGTCTAACTAGCGGCTGTGCGCAGACTTGTTGCGGTAAGTATGTTTGTCGGAGAAGTTAAAAAGCAGTTAGATGAAAGGATAGATAACTGGCGGAATGTAAGCATGCATTAAGGTTGCTGAGGGCGTCAAAGCAAATCACGCGAAAGCGCAACGGACGGCAAATACGCAAGAAACTCTCCGGTAGTCGGATAATAATACCAAGGTAGCCAGAGCCAGGGCAAGCGAGGCTGAGAGCTGGAGGCTTGCGAGTGGTAAAATCGAGGGCGGTAAAAAGAGTTGGTTTGAATAATAAGCTGGAAACGAACAGCTGCGCTCTGACTAAGGGAGTAATGGTTGCTCGCTGCAGGAGAGCTAAGAAAGGTTTAATGATGGAGGGACAGCAAACGGCGGAACTTAAGCAAACGCAGAGCTCCACTTTTCACGGCTAAGTTACACCATTTGTGTAATTACCCCGACAATAAGCCCTAGATTTCGCAGGATGGTACCTACACCGCGGTGCGTTGCGCGGGCCAAAAATAACGGATTTATTTATTCAGAATAGGTCAGAGCAAATAAGGCTGAAGCGAAGCGGCGTGCAGATACTAAATCATGCTGGGTTGCGAAAGGGGTAGCGCTAAAGTATAGATCCAGGTTCAGATTTAGATGGACTGGAACGATAGGAAAATAACTTGAGTGTTCTTTCTTGAGCAAATCGTTGAGCTAGGAAATGATAAGGTGCTAGGTCTTGATAGATCTAAAAGGAAACACCCGAAACACCCTGGTCAACCAATTACTGCCCACGTTGCCTGCACTAGCAGTCCGCGCTGTGTAGGTTACGTGAAGTAAGAAAAAAGCAGAAAGTAAATGGAAGATAAAGGGGAATGAAAGTCATTAAAATGAAGAATAACGCCTAAGAGTGAAGATAATGACAGAATAAGAACTGAAAGTTTGAAGATGGATATGGTCAGGAGAAGGGAAAGGTTTCGTGTTGCCACCCAAGAACGTCTAACTGACGCTCGAAACCCTTAACCGTAGGTTCACTGACTACATTTTCTGGAAGCGAGTTCCAGCGCTCGATAACTCTACGCCATAACCGAGTTTCCGCCGTGATCCGGTCAGAACGCGGCTTGTGTAGCTTCATGGGATGACAGCGAAGACAAGGCAACCTAGCCGGGCTAAATAGCCAGCTCAAGTTCGGCCCAACCTTCCCTGTTAAAATGCGGTAAGTAAAGATTAGGTCTCCTCGAAGCCGTCGGTAGTGCATTGAATACATACACAAGCTAAGTAGACGCTCGGGGTACGATTGCCCCCGTAACCCCACAACCAATTTGGTACCTACTCTCAAAACCCGATCAAACTCCATTTTTTCCCAAACAAAGCAGGCCGGGCAAGCCTGGACGCAGTATTCCAGACGGGGACGGAGGAAAGCTGAGAACAGCTTCACAAATATGTCGGCAGGTAAGACCCCGAAAGAACGGCGTATTTACCACAACATTCTGAAATACCTACTTGCGGCCTTCTTCCAGTTGTCACTAGAATGCAAAGCCGAGGAATGAGCGACACCTAGATCTATCTGGTTGGAGACAAGGGGGAGTTCGACCCCACCGAGTACGTAGCTCGAAGGCGGGAAAGTTGCTCCTATACGAAGGACGGAACACTTAGCCTGATTTATGGGCAGTAGCCACAAAACAGACCAGTCCCAGAGTCTGTCCAGTGCATGCTGTATGGCCTCAGAACCCCCAGGAACATTTACAACATTCCATAGCTTAAGGTTATCAGCAAACAATAGGGATGATACCCCAAGCTCCCCAGGGAGATCGTTTACGTAGATGGAGAAAAGCATCGGTCCAAGGACCGAGCCCTGTGGGACACTGCTAAGGACCGCTTGCTTTAAGGATAAGCTGCGACCCACACGTACACACTACTCTCTTCCCTGCAAGAACACAGATACCCAGTGAAGGGCGCGGCCAGATACGCCGTAGGACCTCAGCTTATGTGATAGCCTCAAGTGGGGTACCTTATCAAAAGCTTTCAAAAGGTCTACGAAAAGCACATTCAATACGTGGCCATTGTCCATTGCCTCGGCTCAAGCTTCACGAGCAACCAACAAATTCGTCAAACACGAAACCCCTTCCGGCATCCATGTTGTGCACTACTGAGTAGATTAAATCTATTCAGGTGACATTCCAACGAATATCCCACAAGCTTTTCAAGCAGTTTGACCACGACGCTACTCAGACTGACTGGCCTATAATTGGCTGAGAGACTCCTGTCGTCATTTTTGAAGATAGGACAGATGACAGCCTCCTTCCAATCGGAAGGTAATGTACAGCTGTCAAGTGATTTCTGGAACACCATTGTCAGCGGTCCACTCAGTTCCACCGCCAAATCATGCAGAAGTTTCGGGTGAATTGCATCAGGTCCAGCTGCTTTGGAAGGATTCAGTTCTTGCAGCAGTTTAAGGACTTGCGTTTCCACCACGGTAAACTCAGCTAAATAAGAACCCTCAGGTACTCTGGGGACAAGTTCAACACTAGCCAACGCGGCCTCACGTACAAAAGCCCCTGCATACTGTTTCCCCAATACACGTGCCTTATCTGAGTCTGCATACGCATGAGTTCCATCGGCCCGCATCAAAATTTGGATTACCGAAGTTGAACCACAGTGTCTCTTAACATAAGCGAGGAACTTCTTCGGATTTTCCGAAGCTCAATCAGCCAATTCCTTTTCTTACACCAGCTGAGCTTTCCTTAACTGTTGTTTACACCTATTTCTAGCCTCGCGGTATTTACCATAGGTGCTAGTTGATGGAGCCGCACGGTAGTTCCCCCAGCACCTAGAACGCTTCTGGAGCAGGTGCTTACCAGTGGTATCTATCCACGGCGGCCGCACTCGTGTCTCCTTTCTCCTCGCTAGCGGGATGTAGTTAGTATACACTTCCTTGAAATAAGATTTAAATGTATCCCAAGCCGCCTGAACCGTATCAACCACCGAGATTTCGCAACGCATCCCAGCAGCCTTGGCACGCATTGCCTGATGGGTAGCACGCCATATGTTTGGAAACGGCTTAGCAATGATCTGGTGACGCCTGGTCAGACTACACCTGAACGATAAACAAACATAATCACTAACACCTAATGGAGAGCTGTAAATGATGTCCCCTACGAAGTCTAGTGACTTGGCAAACACTAGCTCCAAAATAGACGAGAGTTGGGCGACCATGTACCTAATGGGGAGGTCCACGAACTGATGCAACGGTACTTGTACCGTAAGCTCAAGTAGATCTGCCCCGAAAGTAACTTCTGCCGAATTGCAAGAAAGATCCGCCCAGCAAACTTCTGGCAGATTGAAATCCCCGAGTAACAAACACCTGTTTGCGGATTGGGAACTAATAACGTCAAGCACCTCTTTGGACGCACTCCCAGGGCTTCTATAGACAAGTGCGACTATAATTTTAGCTGAGGAAGTGTTAATCAGTACCGACAGCGCTTCGACAGTTTTAGCTGCCGACTGAAACATGTAGGTGCGTGAAACGTCCAGTTCACACCTAACGTAAATAGCAACGCCTCCGCCTTGTCGGCCAACGAAGCGCTCACATCTAAATAGTGCGTAGCCATACAGATGTACTTCACCGTCCGTGACGTTCCGAGACAGCCATGTTTCAGCGAATGCAAGTATATCGGGATGAGACCCATCTACAAGCAGACCAATCTCGCACATCTTATTCCTTAGGCTCCGCACATTGCTTAGCACTATCTGATGGTAGTCGTAATGTCCAGCCCTGGGTCGTGCGCTACCATTACTGGCACTGCTGGGCGGAAACCGACCGCCGGTTGACCACCCAAAAACCCACCAATCGGAGACCTTGTTCACCGGCCGCTCGCCTGGTTTTGTGGTTCTTAATGGCCGCTTTTAGCTTCAGCCTATCCGCTAACGGGAGGTCTGGCTGAACGCTAACATTAGTACCCTTCAAGTCGAAGGCAAACCGCAACAGCGTGTTGCGCTCCTTCGGAGTGGATAGGACTACACGAAGTAAGTGCGGTGAGGGTTTGGCTCGTTAACTGGGGCGTTACCCAATCTAGTCAGTTTCCTAAAAGTAACGTCGGTAAACCCAGGCGGAAGAAGCTTCGTTACGCACATCTTAAACCTCTGTAGATCGTCTAATGTACGTTCGGCGGGAAGTGAAGTATTGGATTCCGCTGCGTTGCGGAATATCACGCTGCTATCCATGAAAGAATCAACTCGACGGGGCGTATTTACCCCGCGGGTTTTAGAATTTAC